TATCAGGGTCAGGACTAAAAGTCCGGTTACAGTAAAAAGTCCTAATTTTCACATCGCCCCCAGGTAAAAAATATAGGATTATTCGATAACCCGATAAACTAACCTATATTCTTGAATCTACTTCTGAGCTAGCATTTATAAGATTATGAGTTCAAATTTTATTATCAATGTAAAAATTTTGTTGATCGATAATTTATAAATTTTCTCCCCCCTAAAGTCTAAATCTAGAGGCATATGCCTTGTCTCTGAGGTGAGTCCTGTGGACCTAATTACCTAAATTATTCTAAAAAAATTCTAAGAAAAATGACTAGTCTTTGTCCATTGTTATGTCATGAAGGAAAAACAAAAGCCAGTTATGTCAAGGATAGTGGATGGAATGGTCTAGACGCGTCTATCCTACATCAGAGAAAAGCCAGACCAGTTATGTCAAGAATCCTCTGCCATGGCAAACCTCTCGTTGTATATTCTCTTGCTTCATTTTTATTTTATTTCAATTTTTACTTGTAACACTATTAATATAATCATAAAAATATATGGTGATTATTAAACATCATTTGGTCAGGTTAGCTTCTCTGTTGTTCTACTAACAGAGAACATTTCGCTTGGAGAAAAAGACTGAGAAAACTTAGAAACAAAAGTTGTGGAGAGAAAATTTGCAGCCAACTCAAGTGAAGTTTATCTTTAGTTTTCTATCAGATATCTTTCGGTTTATTCTCTCACATTCTTTTTTTATAGAAATTTTGAAGAGAAAACATGACTAAAAGAAAATGCGAAAATTGCTGAGAGAACTTTTCTTCATCTCGATTTTGTGAGAAACAGCTGCGATGAAAACATTGTTTTGAATTAAACTTGAATTGAAAGTAAGCATACTGGAAAAGAGCATTTAGTTTCCAACTACATTTATTTGCTTAATTTTCTCTGCCTTTTCTCTATCTGGCGATTCATCCAGTTGGGATCATATCAACGTGGGGGAGGTCCCCTAATCTCAAATAAATTTAAGAAAATTAAAATAAACATGTGAATATAATTCTAGCCAATTTATTTTTTATATTTAATTTAATGAATAGATTATCTAAACTGTCTTTTGAAATGTATGGCAAAAGGGAAGTTGATGATAATTTTTAAAAAAAAATATGAACTCCTGGTTTATCATATATTTACATAGTTGATTATTTGTCATATTTTATGCTTCAATAATTTAACTAGCGTAAGCTTTACTTCCTCGAACTTCATTGTTTGAGTCAAAGTCACAGGATGGATAAGAATGAAAAGCTACATATTTAATTAGGGCAAGTTAAACGAATTATTAAATGGATGGATGAGATTATATATGTACGGGTCAAGACAATTTGTTTTGTTATTTTGATCATTCCACGCCACCTGTGCCATGGTTTTTACCAATAATTTTCATATAACATCAAAAAATACGCACACTGAATTAAAATAGATCTAGAATAAATTGAAGTATAATTACCTTGAAGCAAGCCTTAATCCCTTGGAAGCATAAGATGAAGAAGATGTTGGAGATAATAACAATCCACTGGAGGCACGAGTCACTCATTTTCATAAAGGCTAGGGCAACGCGCGCGCGCGCGCGCGTAATTTGACGATGTCAAATTTCTGCATATCAAACTAAAATAAGAGATGCTTTAAAAAAAAACACTTAGTTGAATATTCAAACCTGCTACAGTCTTTTCAAATTGATCCAGTTCCAATTGATTGAAGTACATAATATTCAATGAATTCAATATATAATAATTCTTACCAAACTTGACTATTGTGTCCATTGTATATTTTCAATCATATAAGTTTTTTAATAATAAGTGAGTATCATGGACCTGTTATCATTTTTTGCGCTCAAACTCGTTATTGTTTAAAACTCACTTCTTATGTTGATAATTATAATTAGGAAAGGTGGATCTCTCTATATTTATCAATCCAAGTCTTTTTTCTCACTATCTTTATATGGTTAATTTCCTTAACATATTCCCTATCAATTAGTACGTGGTGAGTCAGCAGGGCGGCGTCATGCATGCAAACTTCGTCCAATAGTCAGTGGTAGACTTAGAAAATAATGAACCAACAAAAGCCAATTAAAAAAGAGCAAGTAGTGTTGGCAAACAGAAAAAAGCAAGTAGTAAAGCTCAATTAGCACGCTAATTAAAAAGAAGCGTCAGACACGAAAATTAATGAATGATAGTACTTTCACAAGATAATGAGCCAGGATTAATTATCAGCGGATGAAATGGTTTAGAGTTTAGACGTGTCTATTTTACTTCAGAGCTATCTGTTATACTAGCTCTGACTTTTAATATAAGAGCTAAACAATTAATTTTAAAAAAATAAAAAAATAATTAAGTTAGTTATTTGTAACAAATCTTTGTTTTGTTCTTTTGATCATTCTGTGCACTTGTGTCATGGTTAATAATTTTCATATAACACTGAATTAAAATAGAGCTAGAGTGAGTTCAAATAATTACATTAAAGCAAGCTTTTATCCATAGAAAGGGAAGCTCCTTGGAAAGGATTAGGCTCCGTGGTGGATTCAAACAAGCGTTGTGGCGTCTTATACATAATGTCTCACCTTCTTTTCTGTTTTAGAGGCCGCAGTGGATTGTTTTAGGTGCCATGGCCGATAATGCATTTTTGGCCTCCTTCACTTGGTTCTTCCATCCTTGCTCGCTCTGCGTTCCTAATCTTCCTCTGATTAACCAAAATAGGTTAAATATTTCTCCTTGTTGTTCATTGTCCAACTCTTGCTATTTCCTTTGCACATATAATCCCCAAATGTTAGCACAAATCAAGCTTCACATTTTCAAGTTATATTTTCTAGCTTTAAAGGAATAATCCTGCACAATTAGTCTCCAAAACCCACAAAAGATGGTTAAAACAAGCTAAATTAGTAAGAATTTTGACAGGTTCAATAACTTGAAGTCAACAAGTCTTCTCTTTCCCATTATCTTTATTTGCTTACATCAAGACAAACTCAATCTAGACATAGACGTTGCTTTGGATTTCTGAAAAGCCACATAAATTGAAAGAATTTTTTTTTAAAAATTAAGTTACAAAATGGAGGAATTATTATTAATATTAAAAAAAACTATTCATGAAGAATTCTTGTTGGTAAAAAAAGGTTAATATAATTTTTTATTTCTCATCTTTGCTCTCGTTTTGGTTGTTGTTTTTCCAGTTTCAAAACATAGGTTTTGGACATTCAAGTTTTATTTTATTTAAATATTAATTCTTATAATCTAACAAAAACTCAAACTATTTTGTCTCTCAATGGACCAAAATTTATAATTTGAAACTTAAAAGACTAAAACCAAAGCGAGAACAATTTGAAGGTAAAAAAATTATATTAATTCCCAAAAAAAAAAAAGAACTCTTGGTTGGTGGAGAAAACAATCACGCGAAGTAGCCAAAGGTTGTTACGTGTGAAAATCTGGCGGAAAAGAGAAAGGTGAGAGTTGAAATGGAGACGCAGCATTAAGTCAACACTCCAAATAAAAGTCATCACCTCCCACGACGGATGTGAGAAGCTGATGGACGAGAGAAATTTATCATTGAGCGATTTATAAGTATCTCTATAAGTGTTTTTTCTGAGTATGTGTGGTAAAGAAATGTTTTAGAACCGTGTCATACTAAATGTATTAATATTAAAATACTCCTCCGGTCCTTAATATAAGACCCATTTAATTAATTTGATTAGATTAAGAAAGTTAAGTAAGTTAGTTAACTATAAGAAAAGTGACACATTTTTTCTAAAACACCATAATCATTTTTCTTAAAGCCCCTTTTCCTCTTCTACTTGATTATGGTTGAGGGAGTATCTATAGGGGCAATTTAGAGAAAATTAATAAATATGAAAAATTGGTCTTATATTTAGGACCAAAACCAACCCAAGAATTGGGTTCTATATTAAGGACAGGAAGAGTAATTAATTACATGAAAAAAATGAAACTAACAAAGAATTTAAGATATCCTTTAAATGTCTATTATAATTTTATAATTATAGAAATAAGTCATAAGTGTTACTTGTTTCTTGTAAAAAAGAAACTCAGGGAGTATATCTATCAATTAATAATATGTATGAAAGATCCACAAATATTTACCCTCCTTGGATTGCAATCTATTGATATGTTTCTTTTTACTCAATTTTAAGATTTTTTTTAATTTCGATAAAAAAAAACCTAAAGTGTCTTATAAACGGAATTGAAGCGAAAAATATGAGAAGAGCTCTATGAAAACAAAAGTGAGCAGTTTTTGAAGCCCAGCTCAAGAAATTCGTTCAACTTCAAGGACAGCAGGAAGGAAAGGATCATAGTCAATGATGCACGCAGTTTAACTCGGATACAAAAACTATAAAGTGTACAAATCTCTTTCGTTTTTTTATGAATTGACATAAATAATGCTGAAGCCCAATCCATGGAATAGATCTGCAAATCATATGTTTTTTTTACGCTTCTTGGATGTTTCGCAGTACTTTCGAGATCATTTGCATAGTATTAACTCCAATCTTAAATATAAGACATTAAGTTTGTGTAATTAATTTAAATTTTTAGTAATAAAATCTATTACGATCAATTAATTAATAAAGAAGGACATAGTGCACCAAGAAAATGTCTTGATGTTTTGTAATAACTTTTAATGGAATTAGTAAAAGGTTTAGCCAATTTAACCGGTAATTCAATTAACAAACTCTGAAGAAAAAATGTCGTATGGGCCACCACAACCTGTAGCTCTGAAATGTTACGAAGCAAAGCTTGACTAGACCTATCAAAATAAGACCCTTGTGAGAGGCATGGTTGTCAAAGATATGATACTCCCTCCTATTAAAATTTCCATTAACCTCAGGCCACTTGAAATCTAGGCCTATAAATAGGTGACAATCCCTTGCCACCTTCAAACCATATCGTGAGTGAGTGATTATCATGGAAACCTTATCCTGCTCCTATATTCCTAATGTTTTGCTGCTATGCTCTCTTATAATATTCGCAACCATGATCTCCCAAGGCATGTGCAGAAGCTTGAGCATTCAGTGCAATGAAAGAGACCGCCATCTTCTTCTAAACTTCAAACACACTGTGGTTGATCCATCAGCCATCCTCTCTACTTGGTCTGATGAGCGAGACTGCTGTGAATGGCATGGGGTTCATTGTGATAACACCACCGGCAGAGTCATGGAGCTCAGCCTCCCATGTCCCCAACAAGATCCTTTTGCTGCAGATTGTGAAGAGAAGGATCCATACTGTCTCACTGGTGAGATCCACTTGTCATCTTTGCTCCAACTTGAGTTTCTAAATTACTTGAATTTGAGCTTTAATGACTTCCATGCTATCGTTCCAAATGACCATGTGGATGATATCACAGACTGCAATAACCTATCTGTGGCTGACCGTCCTCATTTTTGCGGAAATTCTTCCAATTTGCATTATCTTGATTTATCTTATAATGGTCATCTTCACATGGGTAGTCTTGATTGGCTCTATCGTTTTCCATCCTTGGAATATGTTGACTTCACTGGCATTAATCTTCGAGGGAGAGTTGACTGGATTCAACTACCAACTCTACTCCCTTCACTTACAGAGTTATCCTTAGAGCATTGTCAGCTTACAAGCATCAATCCATCTCTCCAGTTTCTTAATCTTACTTCCCTTGAAGTTCTCAACCTTTCTAACAATGATTTTAGCTCTGAATTTCCAGTTTGGTTATTCAATCTCAGTGATATCACTACTATTGACTTGAGCTTCAACTTTTTGCAAGGCCAATTCCCAAAGAGATTATTAAATCTTCGAAAAATAAAAACATTGTATTTGCGTCACAACAAATTCGTTGGACAAATTCCAGATTGGTTAGGCCAACTTGAACATCTACAAGCTTTTGATGTTAGTGAAAATTTCTTTTCTGGTCCAATTCCTTCAACTTTGGGAAATATGTCATCCTTGATTTTCTTGGATGTCCATTCAAATCACTTGAATGAAAGTCTACCAGAAAGTCTTGGACAACTCTTGAACTTGAAGGTATTATGTTTTTATGGTAATCACTTGATGGGGTATATCTCTGAAAGAAATTTTGTCAAACTCTCAAATTTGAGAGAACTTTGCATGGGATCACCGAATTTAATCTCTGACTTCGATTCTCTATGGGTTCCTCCTTTTCAGCTTAAATTGATTTATTTGGATCACATAGTAGGCTCGAAACTTCCTGCATGGATATACACACAAACATATCTTGAAAGATTGATAATTACCCACTCAATCATTTCATTTGAACCTCAAGACAAGTTTTGGGACTTTGCAGCACAGCTTCGATACATACGCCTACAAGACAACACAATTCATGTTGAGATGCCGGAAGTGTTGCTAAACGCTACCATCATAAGATTGAGTTCAAACAAAATTAGAGGCAAACTCCCTCGATTATCACCAAATGTTGCGATGTTCACTGCAGCACAGAACTCTTTCCAAGGACCTATCTCTCCATTGTTGTGTCAGAAAATGAATAGAAGACGCCAATTACAGTATCTAGACTTGTCTTATAATCTTTTGTCCGGAGGGCTTACAAATTGTTGGATGCAATGGAAATCATTGGTTATTGTCAAGCTACACGGTAATCATCTAACAGGCACAATCCCCCCATCAGTTGGTATGTTGTCTAACCTTATGGTTTTACGTCTCAATGAAAATAATTTATTTGGACAGGCACCTTCGTCACTGTTAAATTGCCAGAAGTTGCAGGTCCTTGATGTAGGAGAAAATAAATTATCTGGATTCTTAATGAATTGGATGCCACAAAATGCAAAGTTCCTTCGACTAAGATCCAATCAATTAAGTGGAAGTATACCGCCCCAAATATGTCAATTGGCTTCCCTTATAATATTGGATTTTGCAGACAACAAAATATCAGGTTCATTACCTATTTGTCTACAAAATCTGACAGCCATGACTTTCCCTAATTCTTCTAATAATGGGGTTTACAAATTTTGCATTAGAACTCCAGGTTTGACTTATGAAGTCGGTAATGAGCTTATACTGCATATAAAAGGCCAAGCATCGAAGTTTAACGAAAACTTAAAGTTCTTGCATGCTATTGATCTATCAAGTAATAATATCTCTGGATCAATACCTCCAGAAATATTTAGCCTTGCTGGATTACAATCTTTGAACTTTTCCCATAATCAACTTGAGGGAAACATACCAAATGAGATCAACAACATGAAAAATTTGGAGTCTCTTGATCTCTCAAGAAACCAACTTTCGGGTGAAATTCCTCCAAGTATGGCTAAATTATCTTTTCTGGAGGCCTTGAACCTCTCCTTCAACAATTTCATCGGGAAGATTCCATCAGGAACTCAACTTCAAGGGTTTGATGCACAAAGCTATATTGGGAATCCTGAATTATGTGGGGCTCCACTTCCAAAGAATTGCACAAAACAAGATGGCGAACCCGTTGAAGGAAATGACAGTCAAAAAGATGAATTTCTATCTTCATTCTACTTTGGATTGGGGGTTGGATTTGCGACGGCTTTTTGGGGAGTCTGTGTTGCCATTTTCTTCAACAGAAATTTCAGACATTCTTACTTCAGATTCCTCTATCACATCAGAGACAAACTTTATGTTACAGCGGTCCTTAGGATGAACCATTTCCATCGTTGAAGACCTAGTCAGCTTGTGGTGAGTGAAAAACAACTTCTTATTTTAAGTTTTGACTAAGTTCTTTTAAATGTTATAATATATTCTAGAACTATGAATATCTTATATTATTATCACAAATACATACATCACAAAATCACCATGACATGCTTTGGATTTTATAAATTTAATATTTTGGAGACGTGATACGCTTGTAATTATGTTAAATTTATGTACTATGCAGGTTCTTGCTGCGTAATGTATGCTTCCGTAAGTCTGCTCATCAGGTCTTTTAGACTGACCATTGCAAGGTAGGATGAAGTGATGATATTGATAATTGATGAAAGCATATTACCAGTGAAGTTTCTAGTTTGTGTGTTACTTTAAAGCCGTGTAATATACAAAGTTCTATTTTCTGCATACGATTTGTATCCTCAATAAATACATGTGTCCTTAACTAAAGAGGAAATTAAAATATTTCTTTTTTTAAAAAAACAAGAGGAAATTGAATGACCTAAAATTTTTATATTGACTTGAAACTTGAAAGGGAGTTTTAAATGGCCAACACTGCCGCCGTACTCCTATTAAGGCACATATGCTTATTTTAAGTACTCATAAGTATTTTTACGCAAGTCAAAATAAAATTTTTATCACATACTTATCTCTTATTCTAATTGATATGTTTTATACTTAGAAAGCAAATAAACACATATAATTCCTTCTATGGAGTTGATAAGTCATATTCACGGCAAGCATCCAGCCAACTTGCACAAGAAGCCATGAAATTGAAAAATCACATCAAGATCGGAGCAACAGCGAGCACTTCAAAACATTTTCATTTAGGGATGAATGAAAATTATTGAACTCTTAATTAGAAAAATGATGATGATAAAATGGGTTAAAAAAGTCTGACGCTAAATTCATCTTTAGTTTGGCAAGTTTCGTATAAAATTATCTGAACTTTTTGTCAAATTAGTTTGAGACAGATCCCATCAAATTTTTTTTTTGGGTTACTCTCTTTTTTATGAAACTTAAAATTTCGCATTAATTACAAGGCGACGGAATAACAAACAAACATGCTACGCTTGGTCTATACACCTTGTAGAGGTATCTTCTTTTTTTGGTTGGTACCAATGGGCTCTGGCGAAGCATCTTATTGTGGGAAAACTTAGGGGGTTATTTGGCTATTCTGCGAATCAAAATAAACTTTTTCATATATTTAATTTTTATAACATAAAATCGTTTTTAATACTGTAGTTTTAATTCTATCTAAACACTTCTTTAATCACTTTACAAAACAAAGGATAAGAAAAAGGTGCCACTGTCATGCATTGATGTAAAATAAAACTAAGCCCTTGGCCCCAAAAAAAATTGAGCCCAGCATCGGTTGCAATTGTAATGGGCCCAGCTTGACAGCTGGAAATCAATTATTCATGTTTTTGGCCAACGGAAATTAATTATTTTTTTTGGGCCAACGTAAACTAATTATTCATACTCTTGAATGGCTTCCTCCTCTAGTGTCTTTGACGCAGAAAACCAGTGCCCAAACTTTGCTCAGACCAGCATCTTTCATTAAAGGTATCACCATTTAACATCTAATCATCAGAGCAACTAAACAATGCAAGAAGGAAAAATTAGAACCCCAAATCTACCCCCAGTACCCTCACGACTTTTGAATATTTTAGAGGCGGCTCTCTGTTCTAGCTCAACCTGTTCCTCAAACCAATCTGGGCTAGGGTGCCAGCTGCCCTTTAAGTGTTGCCCCAACTATGCCTTAATTTTAGAACTCTTCTCAAATATTTTTTTTAGAATTTTTTAACATTAGATTCTACATCAAATGAGTGACATTTTGATATCTTATTGTAAAATGGTTTAGTTTTCATTTTTTAATAATTTTTCAAAGATTTAACATTTTAAATGGTTTGATTTCTTTTTAACTTAGAGCATTAAATCTTTAAAAAATCATAAAAATTTGAAAACTAAACAGTTTTCACAAATAAAATATTAAAATATCACTCATTTTATGTAGAATAATAAAAAAAACTGTAAAAAAATACTCTTCTGGTCCTAAATATAAGACCCTCTTTGCAGTGTAAATTACACTACAAAGAGGGTTTTATATTTAGGACCGATGGAGTATTTGAAAAGAGCGTCAAAATTAAAAGGGAGCTGAAGGGTAGACCCAAGGGGCAGCTGGCGCCCCTGACCGACGAAACTCGTTACAATGGAGTGACTCCAAAAGGGAGATTTATTTCCCCATCTACTATATCAGAAGCCACGAAGCCTTACCTGAGCTTTCTGCGGCCTCTAGTACCAAAATCTTCTTTTGCTTCTTTTTCCTGAAATCTTCTACGCAGTTGGATTTGGGGTATCGGCTGCTCCATCTTTGTTGCCTTCTCTACTACCCTTCAATTTTCTCCTACTTCCTAGATATTTTTTTCTTGTTTCTTTTTACCATTGCATTCTATACAAAATGAGTGAAATTCTGATATCTCATGTGTCAAAAAAAATGGTGTTGTTTTCAATTTTTTATGATTTTTCTACCGTTCTTTTTTACCAGAACTTTTCTGCAAATTCTGTAGTCTTTATATATATGTATATATATTGCCCTGTACAAACCCTTTTTTCTCATGGCAATGAGCTAACTAAAGTCTCTGCAATGTTCTAATGACTCTTCACAAAGAATGAATAATGGAATGGCAAGAACCTTAATTATTCTGACTTGAATGAAGACGAAGTCAATGTATAAGAGGAAGTAAAGTAAAGCTTAGTAAGCTTAATCAAAGAGAATCACTATCAAAACACCAAAAATAATCAATGATTAGGGACAAAACACGCGGCTTTTGGGACCATTAACAAAGGGCTGTGTTTATGAACATTTAAGGGATATTAGACATAGGATTTTTCTCCTCACCACGGAATTCTATTTTACCATTACTTTTTCGCCAAAGATTATAAATGAAAAAGTAGACCTCCTATTTTATTTTTGGGATCAGTGTATCAAGAATTTGGGTTATTGAAACTCGGCATCCTTATTTTGTCATTGCTAAATTTCTAAGATACTTTCTGCCATTTTCCTTATAAGCATCGACCAAAAAAAAAAAGTGCCGCTTCATAATAAGTGTCATTCATTTGTATATTTTAAAAAGGCATTAAATGCTTTATTTCTTATTTTACTTCTTATTAATGCATTTCCTATTGGTTAAAAGATGCGTCGCAGCCAGACAACTTCTATATCACTTTCACTTCCTTCTAATGTCAACACAACGTTTAAAAATGGCACATTATATTTTTGTTTAGCTTTTCACATTTGAATGAATGGACTTCATTGTGCTTAAAGTGTTTTTTAAGTATAATCCAAACATGCTTATAATTTTCTTAATATTTTAAAGTAAACTGATGCATATAATTATAATACCTTCCACAGAGATAGAGTCACATGGACGCTAATAAGAATCTAGTTTAGAACCCTACACTGCACAACCAACTTGTAGAAGAAGCCAAAAATGCATATTATATACTTAAAAATAAATCCTACCTTCTACATATAACACCCACCTGAGTTTCATATCACAGTGGTCCTCAAGATGAATATTCCTTTCAGCTGAAAACCTTATTGGCATTGTAGTGAGTGAACATACTTTTAGAAGAGGCACCCACATTTAGTAGCCGGCACCTGGCAGCCTCCGATAAGTGCCTAGCAAAAAAAAAATAGTACTAGCAAAAGAAGGCAACAACGACGGATCATGTTTAATAAAAGTGTTTTTTTTTATTTGCATACGTGACTGGACATAAATGAGAGACTTGTGTGTGTGTGTGTGTGTGTGTGTGTGTGTTTTGACAATCTAATGTGGACCACTGAAGCGGATGATGATGGTGGTGGTGGTGATGGTGGCGGTGGAGTTTCTATCTTTGTTAGTTATAGTGAAGGTGTATGGCCATTTCTTTTATACTACCTCTGGTAAGGACCTCGTCTGACTTTCATTCTAATCCTAAATATAAGACCTCAATCTACTTTGTCTATCATATTTACATATTTTTTCCAAATGTAATGCTTCTAGTGATAGTAGTTCTAGCCAATACACTTGATTAACAAAGATATTTTAGGAAAAATAGCACCTATTTATTACAAATAACTAACTTAACTTATTTCCTTAATCTCTTCAAATTAGTTAATCAGCTCTTATATTTAGGACCAAAAGTAGTACTTAGAAAAAAAGTTAGTGTATTTTCCCGTCCCTTTCACCATGAACGTCAAAAGCAAAAGAGAGAGGGCTTAGTGATTCGGTTGTTTGTATTTAATTGAAGGTATGTTATCCCCCCCTCCAATCAAAGAGGTAGGTATTAACAATGAAGAAAGAAGATAAGTTTCTCCATGTACTTGTGTGAGAGTTGGGGGTTCTCTCTACTAGGGCATGAGAGTGTGAGTTTTCGGTGATCGGAGGTACGTAGGTAGAGTTCAAAGATTTATGGTGTTTTGGAGGATAGTGTATAAGGAATGGAGGAGATGGAAGAGATTATGGTAGCAACTCTGTTAGTTTAGAGGGAGGAGGATTCAAAGAGGACTTTGATCGGCAAAGTCTTGACTAAGAGGACCTTTACGCAATGAACAATAGAATCAATCCTCAGTAAGGCATGGAATCAACAAGCTGGCTTGGAGATAATTGAAGTAGCTGGTAATGCTTTTTCGTTTAAATTTACTGAGAAAGAGGAATATGATAGAATTCTTAAAGGTCAGCCATGGTCAATTAATGGTAGTTTATTGAGTTTATAAGAAAGATCTAAGTATAAATCATTTGAGGATTTTGAGTTTGGATCTTGTCCTGTTTGGATTCACTTACATAATGTTCCTCTAGAAGTGATGTATCTAGAAAATGTTGTTTCAATTGGAAGTCATATAGGAGAAGTGGTGATGGTTGAGGATCCATATTATAATGGAAAACATTATCATAGTTTTCTACATGCAAGAGTAACATTAGATCTTAGGAAAGCCTTAGCGTGTGGTTTTTGGATGCCAAAATCAG